CAATATATTATATATGTCAAATTTCATTAAAATCTGTAAAACATGAATGAGAAATAAACATCTTTGCTAATTTTCCCGTCATGTCATCTTGTGAAAGTTTATAAAGATGATTCTTTGTTACTCAATGAAGGTTCTGAGACAAGATGAACTAAGTAATAAATTGTATTACACAGTTTCACGAGTAGTCGAGCGGTGCGTGTGCGCAGGCTGTTTCATACACCATCCCGCCGTATGCAAGCCGGCGTGCTTGTGCCCTTCGTTGATGCATATAATGAACTCTATCTAGATGTAGATATTTTTTATTTAAATACACTATCGGAACTTAATGCGAGCAAACATTTTTTACAGGTAAATAGTACCTCTAATTTGTTGACGTTTTAAATTGGATATTTTTTGTTTCACAATACAAAAATATTCAATCAAAACTTATTATGAGATCAACTTCATATTTGTACAAATATTGTAGATAATTTTTGTAATGATTTTAAAACGTATATACAAATTTATATATTATGTGCACCTGTTTGTTCTAATTATATTTTATTCCCCTAACTATTCCGTAATATTATTAAACTTTAAATAATTTTGGATGTATTTTTGTGATGTCTGGTTATATGTATACTCCTCTTAATTACTTGTAGATAGTGTCTTAGGTTTCACAATGACTAAGGATTAGTATTGTAAATGGTATTGTTGTAAAAAAAAAGTTATAAAGAAAATGAAATTTATAATCCAGATATTGAATAATTTGATAAATAGACCATATATCAAATTAATATATACAGTAATTTTAATTTCAATTTACGTAGTCAACACTAGGAGACAGCAATTTTTAATATTACCAAAATTTATTTTAATAATCTTGATGTTTATAAGATTTTTATTATATTTATACGGTATAATGTATATCTACATTAAAACCGTGGAAAGGATGACTTTGTTATATTATTCTATCGTTACAATCGTTTACCAATACTTGCCTCCCAAACTCTATGCTCGTAGTAAGTGGAAGCTCTTACCCCCGTATATCGTAAGGTTTACGGACACTTTGCCAACGTTGCGCAACGTTTATCCTGGCAGCGGGAAAATTTATAATATTTCTCGTTTGAAATCAATTTACTCTGATAGAGTGTATGTAAGACGAGCTCGTGTGGCTCATCTTAGAAAAAGTCACGTATTATGAATATTGAAAGCATGAAAAATATAATAGCGACATAATATATCCGGTCGTATACGTAAAACAGTGTACTCACCTGGGAAATTTTGCAGTTTGGTATTATTAAACATTTTAAACGACCTGTGTTTGTGATTTCACTAATCTGGATTGGTCAAAACATATTATTTAACTGGGACAAAAAGTAACATATTTTTTATTTCATGCTAAATGATACTACCTTCGTAGACCTTCAGGAATATAACAATGAAAACCGCATCCAATTTGGTTTAGTACTTTCTTGCTGCCGGAACAATTACAAAGATAAACAGACAGAATTTAATAAACACATTGTATTGACTTCTATTGCTCTTATTAATACTCCGCATATAAATTTTTCTCAAATACTTCAAATACTAACCATATACTAGCGACTCCGCGTGTTCGCGTGACTGTGATATGTTTATTGACCGGGATAAAATATAGCCTATAACCTTCTTCATCCCATATAATACGAGTATACTAATGTAAATTTAATAGTGATTAAGCTGTTAAGGCGTTACAAGGTAAGAAACAAATAAAGAAATTTACTTTCATATTTATATATCAGTAAGGATTCCATGTACAGTATAATTTACAGGGTACAAAGAAATAACCTAAGTCCTCAGGAATGACAACGCGGGGGAGGGGGGGGGGGGTATCATAGGCAAAACAGTATACTCTGTTATATCTATAGTAGTGCGCATGTCTATAGGCGACGGTTACCACTTTCCATTAGGTGGGCCGTCAGCTTGTTTGCCATTCTTGTTTACATAAAAAAATCTGGTTATAAAAACATATTATATTAGTAAAAATTTCATAAGTTAAATATCATATATTACTTATTTGAGTATTTCGCTCTTTAATATCAACGACGTGCTTTAATAATGTAAAATTAATAATTAAAAAAAAATATTTTAATCTTTTGCGTTGTTGACAAAGTAAATACATTATCGTGGATTGTCGCGACCACTATGTAATGCAATTCATGTAGAAAAGTCGGTAATAAAAAAGCAGATATATAGGTAGTATTTACCTGCTATTTTTCATCGCGTTAAGTACCAATAGTGTATTTCAAACATTTATAACGTTATTTATTTATTACAACATGTAGGTATCGAATACCACCCAGACTAACACAGTGGTCACAGATGGCCGATTAACAAAACTGTTCATGTAAGGAATAAAAATATAGCACCGAGTACTAGCAATTTACGAACCACCTACTTAGCAAAATCTGACATGATCGATCTCAGTCTTACTATCGAAACTCGATAAAAGGATAAAAAGGGTCAGTTGATTGATCAATCGCGTTAGCCCAACGAATCGATTCGTATTGCACAAATCGAGTATCATTAATGCCCCACGATTCCAGCAAATAGTACTCTTAATGACGGAGAATTTTAATCACAGGGTTTAAGGTTAAGGCCCACTTGGCCTGAATTCGCCCACGCTAAAACTACCTTCTTTGTTTGTCTTGAAATGTGGCACACAGCGTTATATATATATATATATATATATATATATATATATATATATATATATATATATATATATATATATATATATATATATATATATATATATATATATATATTAGAAATAATTAGAAACATTAATGTCCGGAACATTTCATATAACATATTATAATATTAATTAAGTATAATAAGAATTAGTTATATTAAAATGAAGAAATTTTATACTTTTCTTTGCACGTTATTAATAAAATGAATACATTAATTTTATTTTTTATAATAAATTTAATTGATAAATTCGAATAAATTTGTAACAACCGTCCTACTCTAAGCAGGGTTGGGGGAAAGGAATTGTTAGTAATGGAGACTGAGAATCCCATTGCTAGCAATATATCCAACCAGGTCGACCTCCTCGCGGTTCCCTCTGGAAACTATCATGGTTTATTCCTGATGAATTCATCATAATGGGCTAACCGGTCTGTTTTCATTCTCATCTATCACCCTTCACTGGTGTTCCGCCAGCGTATCCCGTTAGCGCAGGCGGGTTTACCATACCATTTTCATCCATTAAAAAAAATCGCCCTGGGGTCTGAAGGGAAGAAGTATATAAGCATTACTTTTATCTAATATATTTATTCTTGTACCTAGTTGAGTGAGCCAATTTTTTTTTGTTAAAATATGGTTTTAGTCTGAATTAACCCTTAGGTGGACATGAACACATTACTCTCGTAGACAGTGGCCCTAACGCATTTAAAGTTTAAACCCTGAATATTATATTAGATCAAAGGGTCAAATTAAATTCGTGCCGTTGTTAGTGATAGGAGAGGATTTTGTGGACGCATGAATATTAAATTTAATTTACCTATATTTTGATGTATTTGAATACGTTTGCATAGCTAATTGAAAAAAAAAAATTAGATTTACACTTGTAATCTGCTGTCTATAAAAAGGTCTCAATAAATGACCATAAAGTTTATTTTTTCAATATAGTTTTTGAGTGATAAATAGCATTATTCTGTACTAATATTACAAAGAGGAAATTATTATATTTTGTATTTTGTTTGTTTATAATGGTTAAACTCAAAAATCACTCAACCATTTTCAAAAATTATTTTATTTATAGAAAGTTACATTACTAGTAAGTAATCTACGCTATATATTATTTTAAAAAAATTAGAGATCCCTATGAAAATTAGAATAGGCCAAGGTATCAAAACTTTGCTAATTAAAACTAATATAATAATTTATTTTTCTATCTATCTACCTGTGCGAAACTGGAGCGAATCGCTAATAAATAAATATATATACTATTGACTATATAAAACGGTGTCATCTAGTTCCAAACTAGACAGAGCTTGTTATTAACTGATAGAGACATTTTAAGACTTTTTTTGTAAATATTTTCATACATTTTACAGGTAAATAGGTACAGGTATATAGGTAGTATACATACTTGTTTCTTTACTGCTGACGTTTTGACGTGGATTGCACCACGTCGTGGTTATTCACATCGCGTTAAGTCTTGATTGTGTATTTAAAATATTATCGATTTATTGATGTAAAATATTAAAACACAAACTTATAAATAATTACCAGTTTCAAATAATAGATTCCTTACTAGATAAAGCAAGGATGTCAAAAGCGTTACAGGAAGTCAGTAGATGCAGGTGACTTAGGATTGTTTTTTTATGATAGTCTATAGAGAAGAAGGTTCGGCGGTGAATAATGAAATTAACGATTTAAATTATGATGATGAAATGATAACCAGTTTCATCAATACACACACATACACAATAAACATGATTATACAACTCAATATTATTATTTTTATTATCTGAAAGATAATTCAAATCTGTGTTTAATACACCTGCAATGAAAATGAAGTAGTTTTATACCCAAAAAATATTATATTGTATCGCTTTCACTACACTTACATAAAAATGATCGTTCGTCCATCAAGACGAGATTTGTAATTACGTATGATTTATTAGGATCAACGTCAATAAAAGAAGATGCATTATTTAGGTTAAGCGTAGGATTAAGGATGTCAATATTTCATTAACTTGTTATTTAGGGAGGTCAGGAAGTAGCAGCTAAAAGCTAGTAATATATAAAAAGCCAGTTAAGATGGCCGCCTCGCCGCATTACTTTGGAGGGTCTTCCTGAACCATGCCTCGATCCCGCTTGTAATTTCACGTCTGGGAAGTTCCTTTTCTCTTTTTGTTTGTAATGTAAATTTTCCTCGTTCGGCCAAGAACTTCGTCGAAATCTCTCCTTTTGTCCTGATCCAATGTCGGATAACAGGAGATTTAATATAGAGGCCTGTAAATTCCTTGCCACTTATACCGTGTCGAGTTTGAATTCGGTTATTTCACGGAAGATTAGCTGATTACGCGCCGAATATTTTCTTAAGATGTCAGTCGCTATTGTGACTGGGGGAAAAATGGATAATTTTCTTTTATCAGCATAAAACTTATAGTACTGAAGCGTGGCATCGACATTATCGATTTCGTACACTGTTTATGTAGCTCGAATTGAATGAAAAAGCAACATGTTGACATATGATATGTTGGCGGTCATTTTTTTAATTAATATAGTAAATGCAGATATTTACACTGTTGAAAATGCTACGAGATTGTTTAACTTTTTTAAAACGAAGTATAATAAGATGTATAAAAATAAATTGGAAGAAAAAAATAGCTTGAGAAACTTTATTGACAATTTGAACAAAGTTGCCGCACTCAATGAAAAGGTCAAAGGCAATGATACTCTTTATGTAATAAACAGGTATGCGGATATGGATCCTGAAGATTTTGATCAACATTATGCTATTTCATTAAAAACATGTAAGTATAATATTTATTTCAAAAAATTAAATTCTTGATGTTTGATAATAAATCATTAATTTTATTAATATAATAAATGTGAAAGTTTGTAACGATAGATGAATGAATATTTGTTATTCTTTAATAAAAAATTACTGAATGGATTTGAATAAAATTTAATACACGGAGAGGTTATATCTAACTTGGCACGTCAAATACATTATATACTTACTAATTTATGTGGGAAAAATAATTCCCATGGATTCTAGATCGTCAGTTAAGTTTTAGTTGATATATAATAAAATTAATTATATCAATAATAAAATACACTTATTTCTGTGATCAAAAAGTCTTTATAAAAGTATATAGGTGGTGTAGTGGTACCATACATACATACTGCCACCCTCTAATGGTTGCGAGTTCGATCCCTCTCAGTACAAACATTTGTATTCTAATATGTTTGTTAATTGTATTATTACTTAATTGTATTATTATTATATAATTGTAATATGTTTGTTTCTGGGCCTTTTTTATCTACAATATATATTAATAGAAAAAAACTAAGTATGTCTATTAAATATCTCACTCAGGTCTTATTTACTTCCGAATCTTTCTAACAATAACATATTAGCCACATTATTTTTTCATAAATAGTTTGATATGTACTTTTTCAAAAATTATAATACTAGTAGATTTATTTCTACTAAGATATCGATTCAATCGTGACAACATCAGTTGTTTAGGTTTAAAAATTAACTACTGAACCAATTTTAGGAGATCGATCTGAAAATATAATATATCCTTTCAAATAAAAACAATTTTCCAAAACTTAGTTTGTAAATAACGGAGTTTTAAGGTAACAATGTAAAAAATATAATCGAATTAAGAACCTCCTTTTCTGAAGTCGGCTGAAAATATGTCAAAAATATTGTTTATCTAGGAAAATATTTATTGTTTACGGCTATGTTTTAATTGGAAATATCATTTCAATTTAAAATTTTATCGATATTTTATACTCCGACTGAAAGTAATTCTTGGAATAAGTCCGCTTTGTAGCATCTCTCGTATTATTTTGTTTCTTGCATAATTAAAAATTTTTAATTATTTATTTAAGACTAGCGTTTACCGGCTTCGTGGACTCGGATTTTGGAAGTAGAAAAACCGATTAAATAGACGATAGTGATATTATCCTATTTGTCGGTACAATAAGTTAAAACATGGACCAAATTTTTGTTGTCGGACCTTCAAAGATACAACTGTGATTGCATCATTTTGCATTTTGGTGCAGTAGTTTTTGCGTGATTTCAGATGCATCATATAGACAGATAAAAAATATTGTTTTGTTTTGGTTTCGGTTCCCATATATTTTTTTTTAAATAGTTTTAAACTTTCGCGTTGTTTACACATATTTTTAAATATATAATCTTTTTCATTGCGCTAAGTTCTGATTGTGTATTTAAAAATATTTTTAAAATATATCTTATATACAGACATTACTAAGTTTCAGTTATATTATATCTATATACATCAAATATCTCTATCTTGAATTCTATTTCCAATGGTTGACTGGTAGAGAACGCCTTTAGGTATTATGTCTGTCATATTTACCCTTGTTATGTAGGTATATGAAATTAAATAAATAAATATAGATTTTAATTATAATAAGTTTACCTAGTTAAATCCATTTAAATAAATAGCTATGTCATGCCTTAATAGCTATTATTAATTTCACTTTGCTATTATGAAACTGAGTAATAAATTATAAAATATTACAGATGAAAATGAAGGAAAAGTTGACCTAACGAACATTGGAGGTCAAGATATTTTAAGAAACACAATGGAAAAAATACGCAATAAAGTAGAAAAAGATGAAGATTACTCAGAGAGTATTGAGTTATACGATTTGGGTAATGCTAATAATTTATATAAACAATACATGGAGAAGTTTGGAAAGAAGAATGCCACGAAAAAATATGATCGAACTGTACATTTTTATAGATTCGTCAAAACATTGGTGGATATAAATAGAAATCATTTTAAAGGGAACTATACTATAGCTTTAGATGACAACGCTGATATTGTTAAGGAACCATATGAGTATTTTTATTAAATTTACTAGGTACCTACTAGAAACTAGTGATTTGTTGGCTATTGATGGAATTTGGAGTTCATCTTTATAATGGGCCGCGCAGACAAAAGATATTTTGCGAGGTCGCTTTATGTTACAAATTTTCACATTATTTGCCTCATTTTCTCACTATTTCAAGTCCATCGACGGAAATTTTCGATGATAGAAATTTGTATACTTTTGATATAATCTATTATTTAAAAAATCCTATTCTATGTTATTACGCATATGATGTACTGTGGAAGTAAACAACTTACACAAAAGAGATTTTTTTTCTACGGAATATGCATTACCTTAAAAAATGACGTTTTGTTCTTTACAAATTTTCAATATATATATCGTCAATTTATTTCAATATTAATTTAAATTAATTAATATTGATGGTACGTTAGTAAGATAAAATTAAATATAAATGTCTATTATGATCAATAATAAGATTTTTATACCTTTGATAATGCTATACGACGATATCGGTCAGGTTATAAAATTTATATGATAAAATAAAACCAACGGAGGAGTAAAATGTTCGTTTATGAAGATGAAAAGTACTGTTGTTTTAAAATTACTTTTGCGTACAAGTATATTAATTTGTTTTGATTTCCTTCCAAAGTTTTATTTTTCAGTTCAAGCGAACATTTCTGGTAAGGATGTTAATTCTTGATTCTACGAGTATATCTCATACTTCAAGTTGACCCGTCGCCCGTATCCAATAGAAAAGACGAATCGCTTTGCTATCTACGCAACCCATCAATACTTTGGAAATGAGAAGAATATGTTTCATTTCACACATTAGATTGAAAATACTTGTATTTAAAACGCGTAATTATGTACACGTATCTACAAGTATATCCCTTTTTTTAAATAAAAAACATACATGTTTATGTACCACAAACAAAAATAATATCTTCAATCGTCGCAAAATTAATATGAGATCAACGCTGTAGTCAATTCGATCAATTGCAAAAGACTTATTAAAATCATTTCACAATTGGGGTATAACTTAATAATATAGCTGCAAAAAATACAGACGAATTGAGGTTCTCAATTCCGTTTGTTCTCCTTTTAGAAGTTGCTTAATATAATTATTTTATTCGAGACTTGTGTCTTAACTAATACCTCACCCACCGTTACACAAAGCCTAGAATACTAAATTATCTTTATTCATTGTTCCATTGAAAAATATATATTATGATAAAAAAAAACTGCTTATATAGAGAGAAATAGTAAGGCAAAGCGCTTTGTGAGAATATGCGAAATATCAACCATATGAAAGTGAAACTTCTTTTCATGCCGTCGTCTTATATCGAAAAGATGCCAGAAGAATGAAGTTATGCAATTTATATATATACTTAAAGTACATTTTATCAGTTTCGACGTTGATTTATGGATTTCAAACATTCATTCGAATTCTAAAGATTAAAAAAATTTATCTCACATCTCTCTTATTTTTTTTTTATTTTCAGGTAATTTTGGGATATTATATCTATAAGTAGTAATGAGTACACTTGTACTACTTTTACAGATTTTTATATAACATATCACAACATCCATATATGTATTTTCAAAGGAATAAATGCATATATTAAATATAAAACACAATAAATATATTCCAAATCTAACAATATCTATATAAATAGTGGTATTGAACTCATGCTTTATTGACACATATTTTACTGAACTAGGTGTTATCTTGCAGAAGCCCATATCATCGGTTATTTGAATAGAATTGTTTTGTTTAATCTAATAATTAGCCTGAAGATGCCTCGTTTAGAGGTGAAACACGTGTCGAAAAAGGTGTGTAAACAAAATGGCAGTCGGATATTAGTGATTAATATGGAAGGTTGGGAAACATTTGGTAGTAATAATGGTGGGCAATATTAAAGTGTTGGCAGTCACACACATTCTAATGGTAGTGGTATTAAACAAAATTATTTATTTTTTAAATTTTTTATTTTAACCTTTTCGACATTTCTCCGTCTTTCAAATTGTCATCAGCAAAATCACCTACAAATAGAACTACACCAATATTAGTTCAATACGTTTACTTACCTCACCTTGATATGCCCATACTAGTCATATTCTACGTGTACATTCATATTAATAATTATCCATTCAATTATGTTAGTCACTACAATATTTAATTTCACTCCACCAACTTTCAATGTATTAAATTGGTACAATTATTTCTATATATTAATTCTTGATTCTATCTCTCATACTTCAAGTTGACCCGTCGCCAGTATTCAATAGCGAAGACGGATCGCTTTGCTATTTATGCGACCTATTACTACCAAAAAAAATCTAACAAGTGTCAACCTCCTAAACTTAAAGAACATTTTTTTTAGAAAACACTTACATTTACAGCTTTTATTTATTTTCGTTATTTCGTTATTGAAACAAAGAAAAACACTAGTTTTATGTTAAAAGCAGAACTTATATATCGTGTGTGTCTACTTAGATTTTCGTCTCCCAGTGATTTAAAAGCGAACGGCCAGAAGGGTGACTGCGGACTTTTATATCAGGAGAGTGGCACCTAAACGAAGATTACAGTCGACAGTGCCCCGATAATTCGTTTATTTACATTGCACAAGTTAAATAAATAAACCTGTATATTATTTGGTAGTAGTGTTATGGATATTTATTTTATTTAAAAAGTTTGTTCATCTGGAGATTCAACTCGAGTTTGGACTAAATGATTAATATGATCTTGTAAATATATATATAGTTTAGCTCCTATTTTTTACTTGTATATAATAATTTAATATAAGGATAAGACTATGTAAATGTAATCCTTCCGGCCTTCCACGTATTAAGTAAGTCCGTCAAATAAATTTATGTTGTAGTTCGGATTTGAAAGATTAACGATTAGGATTTGAATGGATTAATTTTGTATTGTGTAAAACAGAATTTTAATGAAATGTATTTATAATATATTTAACATATTTGTAGAGATTTCAGATCTAAAGCAATAATAATGCCACCATCATTAGGACTGGAACTATGATGAACAATTTATGTAAATAAATTAAAACCTTCCGTTTCTAAATATCATTTCATACCATATCAGCATTTAACTGTCCACAACTGAGCATAGACTTTCTCCTTAGGGGGTTTGCCAGTAGTTTCCACGCTTGGTAGGTGGGTTGGCAACCGCAGTTAGGCTTTGATGATGTTCAAAGTAGGACACTACTATCCAATCCTCAATCATTAAATCACCTTAATCGTTTCTTACGGCAACGACGGGAATGGAAGGGGTGATCCATTTTATGCCGGGACCATACGGCCCTACGCTTCTAGATAATGGCAAACAAATGAACTAATAAATATGTAATCGCTACACGCGTATAGAAAGGAAGAGATTTGTACGCCCTGCTTTTTGTTCTTTCTCAGGTGTGTGCTAACAGTAATGTTTTATATTGATAGAATTATTTGCTACTTGTCTAGAGAGATGAATCACAAAATCATATTTATTTTATACTTATTTTTTAACCATGACTTCTTTCTCATAACTGGAATAGGTTTAATTAACTGGAACAGGCAATCCTGTTAGATAGAATAGAATCCTACATCCTTCTGCATTCTATATAATATGTGTATACCAAATGTCATAGTGATGGGTAAAGCTGTTATGATGCTAAATAGTAACAAACAAACTCACTTCCATATTATCATACAAATATGTGTTTTTAATATAATATGAATGTTGGAATAATTGTTATGTTAATAAGTGCACCTGCAGGTAAAAGCATCCAAATATGCACTGTTGGTCGCACTCACTGTGGCTAATATATTATAATTAGCACTTTTATATTATGAATTCATGTTACACTAAAATTTCGGTCTTAGTTATTATTGTAATTACATGTGACGAATATTGTAAACATAATACCTACATATATAATTAAATTCATTAACGCGATGTCTAACGTCTCCTATCTATGCTCTTTCTTTTTGAATAAATTAATGGAATTAAATATATAATTTAATCCTAATCCATAAAAAAATCAATTATATGAGTATATGATCTATAGACACAAAAATACAGTAAAACAATAATTCTGATGTTCCTCTTTGTAAGATTTTACATTTTTCTTTTTTTGAAAAGTAAATATTGACTTTACGTTTAAATTTATCATATTCATAACAAGCCTAAATTAATCACTCCATTAGAGTTTCAAAAGGTAAAAAAAAGGTTATAAGGTTAATTCTATATTGCCAAGGCCTCTTAATTATTTTACTAAATTACTAGTTGTAAGGATTAACTAATCAGATTAATGGCCCTGATTTCCCAGATCACGCTACGTATAAAAATATTGAAAATAATTACTGTTTTACAACTAATGTCTTGAGTATTGCGAAATGGTATTTTATCTTTTTAGAATTTCTCTTGGGAAAAATTTAAACGAAGGTTTTTAAAAATACCGTTTTTATTATGGAACCAGCAAATAAGTTACAATAGTCGACAATGATATATAGTAATTGCTATTTATAGTCATGCACAGTCTTATATTATAGATATCACAATGCTTACATTATAGGTCACTTCGTATGAGGTGCTATGCCTGAGAATTGACTAAGTACTGCGCTAAACCGCGGGCTAACTTTCGTAGTCACTTTTAAAAAAGTAAGATGTGATAGAAAAGTAATGAGTACGTAATGAGTACTCTTTATTAAAAAAGTCACAAAGAGTAACAAGCAAGCTTTGTTTTTTAAATTAATGGCTCGAAATTAATCGATAAAAATGTCTGTGACTGTATGTAAACTGATATGTTGCATTTTTTGTCTCTTGTACCTCCCCTTTACACATTAACATTAGGGAACATAATATTGCTTGCCGTATTTTGGTAGGCTTGTGGTGGTCATAACATACATAGACAAGTTACGTACTTCTACTATGGGTTATATTTTATTTACATTCCAGTTAGATATACATACTTTATAATGTAATAGTTACAAGTTTTTATTAACTTTTTAATAATTTTTTTAATAAATTAATAATGGAATGCTAACCTCGCCTGCGCTAACGGCATACGCTGGCGGGGCTCTAGTGAGGGATGATAGGTGAGAATGAAAAGCTCGGTCAGTTAGCCCATTGTGATGAATATACCTGGAATTCATCACGATAATTTCTAAGGGGGGAGTACATGGAGGTC